GAACCACATGGTTGGCAGTTCAAAGCCACCAGCAGTCCCTCCGAGTGAGGGAGAAAGACCGGGCTTTCTACTCCAGTGCACGGCTACACGCGTTGGGAGGAGGTGGTCACCGCTGTGAGACAGCGCCGACTCAACAGCAGGGAGTTTGGTTTTGAGATATCTACCATTATGCGAGACTGTGATTTCAAGGGCATAGAAGGCCTCCTCTTTCTCCGGTCGAGCGGCTGGTGGTTTTGAACTGCTGACCTTGCAGTTAGCAGCCCAACTGATGACCACTACGCCAACCAGGCTGCTCCCCATCCTAATAGGGAGGAGAAGCGATCCACAGAGGACCCAGAGTGACTGGCCGGCGGCGCAGTACCGACAGAAACCTCAAGGGGGTGCCTTTGTTAATCTTTTGAAATCAAGAAATCGTTTTCGTCTCCTTTTTAAACCTAGAGGCTGCTATCACAGCCCACAGATCAAATACCACCCTTAGGGCTGTTTGGAAGCTGTAGGGGGCTTCTTAACACGTGTCTACCCGTTATCCTGGTTATTTCACTTCTGGGAATTCTCCAGGGTGTCGGGGGAGAGAAGGCTTCTAAACTCCATGTACAACGAAGCTTAGAAGCCAACACCAGCCGGACCCCTGAGATTCACAACCACCATGCAGGACAGAGTGAACCCGGCCCACCCCAACGAGCTTCCAAAGCTGTCTGTCAGCTGCGAGGGTGCAGGCTGCCTCCTCTTTCTCCCCAGGAGAGGCTGGTGGGCGTGAACTGCCCACCTTTCCCCTTAACCATGGGCTGCTCTAGTCCCAGTGCCACGGAGGCCCCAGTGCTGTTGAGTGCAGCACTCTTTGGGAAGCTTAGAAAGAGCAAGTCGCTTAAATCCACACAAGGGACAATAATGACATCTCTCAAACTCCCTCCATTGAGGCGATGCTGTCTCACAGCGACCCCCGAGGGCAGAGTAGAACTGCCCCTGTGGGTTTCCGAGGCTATAACTCTTAGCGGGGTAGAAGGGATCATCTCTCCTCCACGGAGTGGCTGGCAGCTTCGAACTGCTGACTTTGTGGTGAGCGGCCGGGCACAAAAGCCACTACGCCCCCGGGGTTCCCCAGTGCTGACACATTATGATCACAAACGTGCAGGTTTAAGTAGCCTCGTGGGAAGTGCGCCTGTGGCTGGAGGGAGCAGAGCCTCTCCACACACTGAGCTCCCGTGACTTCACGCAGGCGACAGGGGGGAACGTGATGCCCCAGAAACATGGATGGTGACTTCTAGAATTACCCGTCCTTTCCCCCTGCCCTCTCCCCCGAGTTCCCCTCCTTCTAGTCTTAGAGTCTCCCAGGTTTCCGCAGTGAAGGTGAGGCCATTCCACAAGCAGGAGAGAAAGGGAAATCGGAAGAGGGAAGTAAAACTCAATAAAGTGTGTCCTTTCAACCCCCTCTCATTTGCCCACGGAACCAGGAAGCTCTTGGAAGGTGAGGAAAAGGGGGAAATGAGCAGGGAGGAGAACAGACTCGACCCCCAGGGCCACCGGTGAATCTTTTGTTAATCTGGCGACATTTTCCTTGGGTTTTCATATAAATCTCATACATGTGGTCAGGAGAGACCAGCCCCTGGAGGAGGACGCCATGCTTGGTCCAGCAGGGGGGCAGCGAGAGAGAGGAAGGCCCTGGACAAGGTCGACGGACCCGCCGCCGCCACAGAGGGCTCAGGCCTGAGACGACTGTGGGAACAGTGTAGGTCTGAGGGTGTTTCCTCTGTTCTACTCAAGG